CAATATAACCAGAAATCTTAAAAAACAATAAGGAAATATGAAAATTCAGTGTTTTCCTTGTTTATATGGTAACCATGATAAAGTAGTGGCACTTGAAAATGTCAGTTTATGTTGTAATAACTGAGTTACAAGCCTGACATCTATAATCATTGTCAGTCATAAAAATATAGCAAATTGAGATAAATTTAGTTCAGCTATTCAAAGATAATGCAGTTTCTTGTCACGTGCTTTCCTTTGCGACTGACTTGATTACTTTGGACTAAGTCTCCTTAAAAAAAAAGAAAGAAAAAACATATTCAAAGGAAAGAACTAAGAGTAAAACAAAAGAATTATTCAAGTACCTTACTACACTTTGCCAGTTTGCACAGTCTTAAAAGGTGTTAATTTTTGTGGTGTTAACAATCTGGATTGTCATTTTCTAAACAGTGATAATACAAATAACCCTTTGGATTTTTAACATAATTTGTCCCCGGAAGTACAGTACAATAGTCTAGACTCCTGTGAAATGAGATACCTGCTGTGGCTTGAGCCCCTGTGATTGATTGATTAATGTCTGTTAGACACAATAAGACATCTGGATTAAAGGAACTTTAGAAAAAGTACAAGTCACAATAGTATTTTATTTTAAATTTTGATTGGAATACAGAACTAGTATTTAGAGTTGAACACTTTACTAGTCTTAAAATCCTTGAGGAGGTCATTTGATCATTGCAAATACCACAGTCTGTAACTTTCATGCAAAATGTAACTTAAATAAATAAGCCTTTACAGTCTCTGTGTGAAATATAATTTTTAAATGCTGACTGAAAACTAGAAAATCATAGATGAAAATCCAATTAACAAACCAAACTGCTTGATAATCTAAGTTATTAAATGCCATTACATGGAAATTGTTTAAATATATAAACAAAATGTTAAATTTTGCAATATAGTGTTATTAACTCATCTTTTTCTGTATAAATCTGTAATAGTCTTCTAGTCTTCAGTTAGCTGATCTAAGGTGACTCAGCTTCACAATATCCAGTGACCTATATAACCAGCAGGGAACACTAAAGCAGTTTTACTACAGCCCAGATGGCATAATTCCTAAATTATATACTAACCAGGTACAACATGTGAGACTATAATAATTCCTTGCTGTAGAAACATGCAATGCCAAAGATAAATAAGGGTTAATTAATGAGATCTAACTGGAAGCCTAATACATATACTGGAAGATCTATATCGGAAGTCCTGTAATTGTAAATCAAATATTTATTCAACTCACTGAAGAAAAAAGTGATTAAAATGCATCAAAACCAATTGATATTCTTCTACAAAAACTAGAATTGATGTATAATATCATTTCCCTAATTCATAATTATGTAGGTATAACTTTAAAAAAATAAAGTGCAAGAGGTGGATTGCGAGCGGCTCTCATTATGGAAACGCTTTAGACAGCGTCCTGGGCAGAAGCCTCATGTTATGATAGCAGAGGGTTAGAAATATGACCCTTTATATTTAATTTTCTTCCTGAATATTAATAAGATCTTTAATAACAGTTCTCGTTCTGGAGTTTAGCAGTTGGAATAGAAGAGGGCAAACAATAAGCTTCAACTCTTCTAGCTTTAAGAGACAAAACTAGTATGATTAAAGAATACCAATAATTTAGATATGCCAAATAAACACCTAAACGATAGAACGCACTGAAGTCAGTAGCTCTGTTTCTATATTATCGTCGACCTCCTTTGAAGAGTCTAGACGGACCTAATTTGGGGGCTCTGACCTGTGGTTTCTGTTAATTGAAGTCTCATGGTCATAAATTTAATCATGTGATTTTTTCTCTCCTCAACCTTCATCTGTGTTCATACTAAGATTTCACTTATGAGCACAGGGCAATAACGGGTTCTGGCTACTAGTAAAGCTACCCCTCAGCAAACAGAAATAATTCTGCTTAGTAATAATGTTAACTAAGTATTGCTAAGTTATGTGTTGCGACGGCAACGTGACTTTGAAATGATGGTAGTATGTTTAGAATGAGAGATGACTGTGATGCCTATGAAGTGACCTGGAAAGTGGCTGCGCTACAATGTTTATTGTAAATGTATCAGAATGATGGTTCATTTATTATTTTAAACAAGTGCAGAGCACAGAATAGGTGACAGCTGGAACAATGCACTGGCTCTAATTGTAGATTTTGTGAATGGCAAAATGATCATTCACAGAGTTAAAAGAATGGTCTTTTGGTTCACTCCTAATATTGTATGAGGTGATATTTTTCTTTCTAATTTTAGATTCTTAAGCAGTCCTTTTAATTCTTAAATTTTGTATACTCTCATCATACAAAATACTACTAGTATGAGAGGCTTTTTTGGCTATTTAAAACCAGTATCAATCTATTGCCTTTAAGAAATCTGTTTTGTATTTCACATATAAGAGATTAACCTATTTTAGTGCACTTTAGTCACTGCACCCTTGCGATGAACACTGACCTCAGGAAAAGTTCGAATTAAGAAGAACTCACATCGTCAGAGAGGTGGGGGAATTGTAATGTCAAAAGAGTTGGTTAAATAGTGAAATTACTTATGCAATATTTAAGTTTGGTGGGTTTGCTTGGTGATAATATTTTTACTTATAACTTAAGTATCTAAAAACAAGTGTTCATGTTTTAAGAGAAAACCACTGTATTAAAAAATAAGAGGTATCTGTGTACATCCCATCATAGTGCGGAGCTGTGCGAAGGGCCAGCGGTGCGTCCACAGCTCAGTGCAGAACCGCAGCACGGAAATTTCAAATAAATGCCCCTCATTCTCCCTGTAAGTTAGAGCCAGTTATTCAACCACACATTAAGACCTTCTCAGACAACCTTTACAGGTCATTAAAACAAAACACAAAAAACAAAATTTTTGTTCCGAGTGAACTGTTATTATTAAAGCCTCAAACTTTACTATGTATCTAACGTTGTAGGAACCCCCCCCCCC